GCAAGCTCACAGGCATAAAGAAATAGAAAGTGTATAAGGTATAGAGACATGGAGGATGAATGAGAAGATTCAAAATATATCTTCTTAGGAGGTTGAAAGGAGAAAATATAAAGACTCATTGGGGAAGGTAATACTTGAAGTGATAAAGACTTAAACTGTTCTCAGAAATAAATATATTAATTTTCATGTCACAAAAGAACTCTTAAATCGTAAAACAAAGAAAATAAATATTTTAGTAATAAAAATAATTATTGTAATTCAACTTAGAAAGCTGTAGGACTGAGAGTGATTTTTAAAAGAATTTTTTAGAGAAGATTGAGGTTCACAGCAAAATCCAGAGGAAGGTAAAGAGATATACCATATACTCCCTGCCCCACACATACATAACCCCCCATTATTAAAATCCCCCACCAGAGGGGTACTGATATGGTTTGGCTCTGTGTCCCCACCCAAATCTTATGTCAAATTGTAATCCCCACATTGTTGGAGGAGGGGCCTGGTGGAAGGTGACTGGATAATGAGGGCAGTTTCTAATGGTTAGCACCATCCCTCTAGTGTTATCTCATGATGGAATTCTCATGAGATCTGGTTGTTTAAAAGTGTGTAGCACTTTCTCCCTTAGCTGTCTCTCTCTCCTGCTCTGCCAAGGTAAGACATGCTTACTTCCCCTCCCACCATGATTTCCCCTCACCATGGCTGAGGCCTCCCAGCCATGCTTCCTATACAGCCTGCAGAACTGTAAGTCAATTAAACCTCTTTTGTTCATAAATTACCCAGTCTCAGGTAGCTCGTTATAGCAATGTGAGGATGGACTAATACAGGTACATTTCTTACAATTAATGAACCTACACTGACATCATTATCACCCAAAGTTCACAGCTAACATTAGAATTCATTCTTGGTATTGTACATACTATGAGTTTGGACAACTATATGACATGTGTCCACCATTACAGTATCATACAGAGTATTTTTATTGCCGTAAAAATCTTCTGTACTCTGCCTTTTTATCTCTCCCTCCTTCAACCCCTGGAAACCACTTTTTTTTTCTTTCAAGATGGAGTCTCGCTCTTGTCCCCCAGGCTGGAGTGCAATGGTGCGATCTCGGCTCACTGTAATCTCCACCTCCCAGCTTCAAGCGATTCTCCTGCCTCTGCCTCCCAAGTAGTTGGGACTACAGGTGCCCACCACCACACCCCACCAAATTTTTCAGTACAAACAGGTTTTCACCATGTTGGCCAGGCTGGTCTCAAACTTCTGACCTCAGGTGATCTGTCTGCCTCGGCCTCTCAAAGTGCTGGGATTACAGGTGTGAGCCACTGCGCCTGGCCACAACCACTTTTTTTTACCGCCTCCATCATTTTTCCTTTTCCAGAATGTCGTATAGTTGGTGAGTAGTGTATCTTTGTTGTTTTAATTTGTATTTCCCTAATGACATATGATGTGGTGCATCTTTTCATAAACTTATATGCTATCTGTATGTATATCTTCTTTGGTGAGGTGTCTGTTAAGATCTTTGGCCCATTTTAAAATCAGATTGTTTTCTTATAGTTCAGTTTTAAGAGGTCTTTGTTATTTTGGATAGCTGTCCTTTGTCAGAGGTGTCTTTTGCAAATGCTTTTTTTCCTACTCTGTGGCTTGTCTTTTCATTCCCTTGACAAGCCAGAGTAGGTAAAGTTTTTAATTTTAATGAAGTCCAGCTTATCAATTCTTTCAGAAATCATGCTTTTGGTGTTGTATCAAAAAAGTCATCAGCAAACCCACGGTCATCTAGATTTTCCCCTATGTTATCTTCTAGGAGTTTTTTAGATTTGTGTTTTACATTTTGGTCTGTGTTCCATTTTGAATTAAATTTCGTGTAAATCTGTGTCTAGATGCTTTTTTTTCCTATGGATGTCCAGCTGTTCCTGTACCATTTGTTGAGAAGGATGTATTTTTTACCTTCCCAACTTTGAGAGCTTTGCTATTTTATTACATTTCCTTCTATCATTCTCCAGACTATAAAATTACCCAAATATCTAAGAATTCCTCATGCATAAATGTACAAACTCAAAGCTCCAGAAATCTAATTTTCTTTTGTCCATGTGATTAGGTATGGCCCAATAAAATTAGGCTTCAAAACTAGAAATAACATGTTATATATTAAATATCCCTTCAGTTCTATAAGAGGAATTAATATAATATATAAAATTAAGTAAGTTTAAATTTAACGAAGTAAAATAATAAAATAGAGCTTTGGAGCTGAATATCTTAGAGATCATCTATCCCATTACTCCCAATCTGGGTTTTACGACATCTACCTATCCTCTCTTTATTCATGCCTCTTCTGGGAGCGTGAATGGAGCAGTGTTTACATTATTACAGTGTAATACATTATTACAACAGTGTTTACATTATTACAATCAATATAGGTAGCGTTTAATGCATGAGTCTAACAGGGGGTACTAATACATTTCCTTCTATATAGTTCTAGTGTGCTACTTGAAGAACTATTTTACTATGATTGGGACCTAAGTATCTTCTCTTTTTTACTGCATTCAAGACCTAAATATCTTTTTTTTTTTTTTTTTTTGGAGACAGGGTCTCACTCTGTCACCCAGGCTGGAGTGCAGTGGCGCAATCACAGCTCAATGCAGCCTCAACCTTCTGGGTCAAGCGATTAACCTCAGCCTCCCATGTAGCTGGAGCTACAGCCACGCACCACCATATCTGGCTAATTTTTGTGTATATATTTTTTTGTACAGATGCGGTTTCACCATGTTGCCCAGGCTGGTCTTGAACTCCTGGGCTCAAGCAATTCGTCCGCCCAAAATGTTGGGATTACAGGCATGAGCCACCACGCCGGGCCTCTTCTCTTCTTACATTCCATCAATTGCTCAGAACCATCCCAAATTTTAACTTGCTTTATATCTTTCTCATATAGTTATGTTTTCCCTAGAGTTTCTGATCACTACTTTTTTGTTGGAAAAAACACAAGGATTTTTTTTTTTTTTGAAACAGAGGGTAGTGGCCTCATCATGGCTCACAGCAGCCTCAACCTTGTGGGCTCAAGCAATTCTTCCACCTCAGCCTCTGGAGTAGCTAAGACTACAGGTGCTCACTACCACACCCAGCTAATATTTTTTTCAATTTTTTATAGAGACAGGATCTCCCTATGTTACCCAGGCTGGTCTGGAATGCAGTCCTCCAGTCTCAGCCTCCCAAAATGCTGGGATTACAAGCATGAGCCACCACACCCAGCCTAGGATGTATGTTAACATTTTTCCATACTTTTCTTTGTGTTTATATATACACATACTTTTCTTTTTTTCTGAACTATCTGAAAGTAAGTTGCAGCTAATAGGTGATTTCACCCTAAATACTTCATCATACATTTTCTAAGAATAAAAACTTTCTTTTATATAACCATAATAGTATGCCTAGGATAATATTATACCTAGGAAAATAATTCAATAATATAATCTAATATATGGTCATATTCAAATATCCCAATTGTCCTCTCCAAATTTTTATGGCTGGTTTTATTCTTGATTCAGGATCCAGTGAAAGTTCACATACTACATATTCTTTTTTTTGAGATGGAGTCTCGCTCTGTCACCCAGGCTGGAGTGTAGTGATGTGATCTCCGCTCACTGCAACCTCTGCCTCCCAGATTCAAGCGATTCTCCTGCCTCAGCCTCCTGAGCAGTTGGCACTACAGGCACCCGCCACCATGCCTGGCTAATTTTTGTATTTTTGGTAGAGACAGAGTTTCACCATGTTGGCCAGGCTGGTTTCCAACTCCTGACTTCAAGTGATCTGCTGCCTTGGCCTCTATTATTTTAATCAAAAGTAGCTCCCCTTTCTTTTTTCATGACACTGAAGTTTTTTTTGTTTTGGTTTGGTTTGAACTTTTAGGTTCAAGGGTACATATGCAGGTCTGTTATACAGGTAAATTGCATGTCACGGGGGTTGGTTGTACAGATATTTTACCACCCAGGTAATAAGCACAGAACCCAATAGGTCCTTTTTTGATCCTCACCTTCCTCCCATCCTCCATGCTCAAGTAGACCCCAGTGTCTATTGTTTCCTTGTTTAACAATGAAGTTTTTTGAGTCCAGCCTAGATGTCATATAGAATGTGCCACACATTGTGATTGTGTCTAATTGTTTCATCATAATTAGATTTCAAATAATATTTTTGGCAAGAAAATTACATAGGTGAAGTTCGGTCCTCCTTATTGCATAGTAACAGTGGATCCACGGAAAAGCTGTATCATTATTAACATTGCTAGACTCAATCACTTGATTAAAGTGGTGACCTTCAGGATCCTTCTAATGTAAAAATACATTTTGCTATTTGTAATTAATGTTATCTGTTTGAAATTGCATGAATATCATCTTCCCAACAATCATTATTCCACTAATTACTTCATTTTACTTTATGTCTTCCCCATTAGGCTAAGCTTCACAAGGGCAGAGATTTTGTCTTGTTTATCATTGCTGTATCCTTAATGCTGAGAAAAGTGTTTGCACATAGTAGACCCTCAATATATATTGAATGAATCATCATTAGTTAAATACTTCTGTATTCTCTAAGAGACTATGAACAACTTAAGGACAAAGGTAATGTTTTCTTAGTTTTTGTATTTGTAGAAAATAAGCACAGTACTTAGCACATAGTAAAAATTCTATTTTAATTTTTAAGGACCATGGGTAAGTCAGTTACAATATATATGCCTTACTCATTTTCCTTATGTATAAAATGTTAAAAATGCATCTACTTAACTATATTAATAAGATATACTAAAAATTATTTTAATATTTCTTTCTAAAGTAAAATATAGTAAAGTAAAACTCCTAATTTTAAAACAAGGCTCTCAGGAAAAAGTATTAAATTATGTAATATATTAAATATAAATTTCTGTCAGCTTTTCTTTGTAGCTTACATATCTAAAGGCATTTTACTGATACAATGCTAAAATACCAAACTACTTTTTAAACAGTACATACTTATTTTACCTGTAGTGCTTTTAATGTTTCTTTCAATCCTTCTATTTCTTTTTCCTTTATTTCTGTAGCAAGCTGATATTTTCCCTTTAAGTAAAAAACTGTATTTCAGTACTTTCCAATATAAATGATAATACAAAAGGGTAAAATATAAGAGCTCAAGAATGAAAATCTCTATTTTAAACCAAATATTTCACAGGCTTTAATCTTCTATCTGTGCGACAAATTACACTTCTAATGATTTCAAAATATAAAATTACAATAAGGCCTTTATATGGTTACAATGAAATAGAATATCTTATTATATCTTACTATAATGACAAATCATTTTATCAGTAGAGCATCCTACCCGAGAACTTAGACACTTTATAATTACTTAATTAATACAACTAGAATAAATACATTCTAATTAATAAGATACAGATGCATTTGTCTAATGAATATAAAAACATGAGAGAATTTTTTACAGAAGATCTTTGGCTAAAAATAAACTATAAGTGATTATTACTAACAGCATGTTCATTGAGATAATAAAAACATGTATTAACTATTAAATAGCTAGAGAAAATATTTAGTGTCAGATAAATTTCTAGGTTTGTTGGAGCTTTATCCCCTTTGCCAGTTGGTCTGCACCCAGTTGCAAGTCATTTCCATATTTTTTAAAGACTAATTCCAGTGAAAAAGCACTAAAAACATACCATGGTTAATAGAAACACTGCACTGAATGGTAAGAACATTAATTTGGGACCTGAAGAGGTCTGGGTTCTAGTCTCAATTTTGCCACTTCAAAGTGAGACCTCTGGCAAGTCATTTAGTCTTGTTAGGCCTCTGTATTCTGAACTCTAAAATGACGGAAGTGAAGTAACATGATTATATCTTCAGTCCTTTCTAAGATTTTAAGCAGTTAACCACCTCCATTAGTTTGTTACTAATGCTCTTTTCTGTTATGGCAAACAACGGATAATAAAAGGCATTTAGCTATGTTTTAAACTATTTTGTAAAAATAAATACCTTTTAATAGATAGAAAATTTTTTAAAAAATTATAAATACCTTTTCTTCTTCCAGGGCATACATCTTCATTTGCAACTGATAAACAATTTTAAAAATTAAAATAAAGGGAGATAAACTGTTAACAGTGATCTACACTGGTCACTGAGACTAAAGAAACACGTTATATATCTATATTGTTTGAAATGGAAATAATGTGAATGTTATTTTCAGATTCAGAAAATAAATAATAATGATATAAAATGAGAAAAAAAGCCAGTCAGTAAAGTAAAAGAACTTTGTATTTATTTATTTGAGATGAGGTCTTGCTATGTTGCCCAGGCTGTACTCCAACTCCAGGGCTCAAGGGATCTCCCACCTCAGCCTCCCAAGTAGCTGAGACTAGAGGCACACACCACTACACTCAGTTCAAAATTAGCAATTTAATCACACTGATCAGAGACACCAATTATCCTTGAAAGTTTTGTTTTTTCCTCCAGAAGTTTTTCTTAAATGTCTGAATATTTTGCCATCCACTCCTAAATCACAGCTTTTATCATTTTCCAAAGGTACAATTTTGTAAATCAGTATCATTTGTATTATCATTGACAGTATTTATGTTCAAAAATTTGTGCAGCCTAACAAATTATGACCTGTTTAAAAAAATAATAACATTTTAATGGCCAGGCATGGTAGTTCATGCCTGTAATCCCAATACTTTGGGAAGCTGAGGCGAGAGATTTGCTTGAGCCCAAGAGTTTTGAGACCCGCCCGGGCAGTATAGTGAGACTTCCTTGACAAAAATGTCCCAGCTACTTGGGAGGTGGGAGGATCGTTTGAGTCCTGGAGGTGGAGATAGCAGTGAGCTGAGATCAGGCTACTGCACTCCAGCCTGGGCTACAAGGTGAGACTGTCTCTAAATAAATAAATAAAAATAATGACATTTTAGAACAGAAAAACTAAAGTACACACACCAAAGGAAAATTATGAAATATTCTAAGCAACACAAGAGTATTAGGCAAAATTTTCAAGAAATGAAATTTTTCTTTGGAAATTCCCTATTTCCTTTTTCTTTTTTCTTTCTTTTTTCTTTTTTTGTGAGGCGGAGTCTCGCTCTGTCGCCCAGGCTGTAGTGCAGTGGGGCGATCTCGGCTTACTGCAAGTTCCGCCTCCCGGGTTCACACGATTCTCCTGCCTCAGACACCCAAGTAGCTGGGACTACAGGCACCCACCACCACGCCCGGCTAATTTTTTCTTTTATATTTTCAGTAGAGACGGGGTTTCACCGTGTTAGCCAGGATGGTCTCGATCTCCTGACCTTGTGATCCGCCGGCCTCGGCCTCCCAAAGCGCTGGGATTACAGGCGTGAGCCACCGCGCCCAGCCGAAATACTTATTTATTTATTTATTTATTTATTTATTTATTTATTTTGAGACAGAGTCTTGCTCTGTCGCCCAGGCTGTACTGCAATGGTGTGATCTCAGCTCAATGAAACCTCCGCCTCCTGGGTTCAAGCAATTCTCCTGCCTCAGCCTCCCAAGTAGCTGGGATTACAGGCTCCGGCCACCATGCCCGGCTAATTTTTGTGTTTTTAGTACAGACAGAGTTTCACCATATTGGCCAGCCTGGTCTGGAACTCTTGACCTTGTGATCTGCCCGCCTTGGCCTCCCAAGGTGCTGGGATTACAGGCAAGAGCCACAGCGCCCGGCCTCCTATTTCCTTTTTCACACTCCTCACATTCAAGATCCCTTTCTTTAAACACACACACACACACACACACATTAAAAAACAAAGAACCCAAGAGCACTTTCTCCTCTACCCTTCAGATATCTGAGTATCCTTATCTTGCCCAAAGTCCTTTGTGACAGCAGAGATGTGGACTTGCTCTTTCCTAGAGAATACTGTACTACACTTTGGGCTTTTGCTTCCCTAACCTTCAATTAAAACTCCCATAACCTTGGTTAGGCCTATCTCAGATTAAAGGAAGAAAGTCATTTGCTTAAAAAAATTCATACATCTACACACACTTGTATTATAAAGATGAAGATAAATACAGGAAAGGAAAAATGAAAAAATAATGATGTGAGATGGAGATAAGGAAACTTTCAGAGGATATTTTACATGAGCACATTTTCTTAAACTATTACAATATTTTCTTACTAGGAACTGAAGAGAAATTTTAGTCAAGAAGAGCTACAGAATTCAAATTAGCTGAAGGTATGTACAACGATTTATGTCTTGATTTTTTTCTCATTTTCGTACTACTATTAGTTACTGATGATTGATATTTATGGAGGCTACAGTGCATAATAATCATCTCTTCTAATCCTTGACATCTCCCTACTTGCATCTCAGATTTTGATCATAATGTTATAACTCTACTTTGGTAAAGGGGTACTATGGAAGAGGCAAGAGCCTAGGAAGTTCTACTAAAAGAAAGAGGAAAGGGGAAAGAACAACACACACATCCCACTCACCTAAATTATTTAGGATAGATGAAAATATATCTTCATCTCCAAGAAAATAGTTTTCCCAATTTCCCTCCTTAACAAACTCATTCTACTACTTTACATTTTATTGTCAGTTGTGATTAAAAATTATTTTATTCATTTCCTACTTCCCATAATTCCTTGTTCTCCTTTTTGTCTTTGGTGAGTATGGAGAACAGCTTACCATAATATTCATGGGAGGGGGAGGAAATGCAATATTTAAAATGGTAGTATTTGTCTATCCTTACGAAATTACCTGCTTTTTAAAAACTGCCATTGCTTCCTTGTGTTGCTCTGCCAATGTTTCCTTTTGATTCTGAAGAGTTTCCTGTTTTAAAAATTATGACAAGTTAAAATATACATTCTAGCAACTCTCTTTCAGCTTTAAATCTTAACTGGGTTCACAATTTAAAGTTAACCATACCTTTTACATATATTATTTTGTGTTCCTGGAATTCCACTTTAAACCAATTTTATGATTATTTTTTGAGAGAGGGTCTCACTCTGTTGCCCAAGCTGGAATGCAGTGGCACAATCACAGCTCACTGCAGCCTTGACCTTCCCGGGCTCAGGTGATTCTCCTGCTTCAGCCTCTCTAGTAGCTGGTATTACAGATGTCTGCCACCATGCCCGGCTAATTTTTGTAATTTTTGTAGAGGCAGGGTTTTGCCATGTTGCACAGGCTAGTCTCAAACTCCTGGACTCAAGTGATCCACCCACTTCGGCCTTCCAAGATGCTGGGATTACAGGCATGAGCCACTGTACCTGGCCCAATTTTATAATTTTTTAATTGTCATAGAATCATCACATAAGCATTTTGCTTTATGTTGCTTTTTTCATGGAAAAAAAACACATTGCTTCTAAAATTTTTAAACTTTGGACATTATTTGCTCCAAAGTGTTCTCTAAGAAAAATATCTTTTAACCAAAAGTAATTAAAATTAACAAATTAACAGTCCTAGTATACAAGCAGACTATTGTCTTAGAGTTTCAAAAACAACAACAATAACAACAAAAACGAGTTTTATGATCTAAGCAGAAATGCTTACCTGGCAACATATACACCTTTAAGTTCATTGGAATAATTTTTTACAAACCAAAACTACCACAGAGAATTTCTGAAAAAAAATCTATATATGATTCCATTTCTCTTTTACTCCTTCTCCCACCTTTTTGGTGGAAGTTGCATGTTCTGTTCTTTCTATTCTAGATTACTTTAACGTTCTTCTATTTTTATCAAAGTTAATAATTCTCATCATTTAAAAATTAGGTCTAAAAGTGGCAACCACTTTCAAATTTTTCTGCTGTTTGCTCCAGATTTCTAAATAATACATTGAGTTAGCAATTTAAAAAGTTTATCTTTTGACCTCTTATTGATGACAGTAGTGGCCCATCTGGAGCCACCGTTGTGAGGATGCCAGCTGCAGCAAGGGAGGTGCAGCCAGGGCTACGACTCTGCGAAGTCATTTGGGGCTGGGAACAGGTGAAGAACCCAAAGCAAATGCAACAAAAACAAAGATAAATAGATGGGACTTAATTAAACTAAAAAGATTCTGCACAGCAAAAGAAATAATCAGCAGAGTTAACAAACAACCCACAGAGTGGCAGAAAATCTTCACAATCTATACATCTGACAAAGGACAATATCCAGAGTCTTAAAAAAAAAAGATATGCAAATGGTCAACAAGCATATAGAAAAATGCTCAACATCACTAATGATCAGGGAAATGCAAATCAAAACCATCATGTGATACCACCTTACTCCTGCAAGAATGGCCATAATCAAAAAATTAAAAAACAATAGATGCTGGTGTGGAGGTGGTGAAAAGGGAACACTTTTACACTCCTTGTAGGAATGTAAACTTGTACAACCACTATGGAAAACAGTGTTTAAAGATTGCTTAAAGAACTAAAAGTAGATCTACCATTTGATCCAGCAATTCCACTACTAGGTATCGACCTGGAGGAAAAGAAGTCATTATACAAAAAGGATACTTATACATCCAGGTTTATAGCTGCACAATTTGCAGTTGCAAAAATATGGAACCAGTCCAAATGCCCATCAATCAACAAGTGGATAAAGAAAATATGGTGTATATACACACCACAGAATACTACTCAGCCATACAAAGGAACGCAATAATGGCATTCACAGCAACCTGGATGAAATTGGAGACTTTATTCTAAGTGAAGTAACTCAGGAATGGAAAACCAAACGTTATATGTTCTCACTTAAAAGAGGCACCTAAGCTATGAGGACAGAAAGGCCTAAGAAAAATACACTAGACTTTGCAGAATCAGGGGAAAGGGTGGGAGAGGGGTGAGGGATAAAAGAATACACATTGGGTACAGCATATACTGTTCGGGTGATGGGTGCACCAAAATCTTGGAAATGACCACTAAATAACTTATTCATGTGACTAAACACTACCTGCTCCCTAAAAACCTACTGAAAAAAAACAAAAACAAAAACCTTAACAGCGCCCCTTTCTGGGTCTGCCAGCTGTCATAAAGCTTTCTACCTATTTGTACCTCAGCAGTATAGACAAGCCCTTAATGCTCTAACAGAACACCATGGGAGTCATCAGGGTCTAATTGCTTATTACAGTCTTCCCTTAGACTTAATGGCAAAAGCCAACTCCTTATCAAGGGCAGTATTAGCAGCTGTCAAACTAGTAGAGGCTTCTACTAATGTGGTTTAAGGATTTATTTAGACTTCATGATACCTCATGCTGTGCAATCCTTGTTATTTACTAAAAACACATTTCTCAGCAAGCAGGTTCACCTCCTATGAACTTTTATTACTTTCTCCCCTACACATCTCCACCCAGTGCTGTAATATCTGAAAGTCTACTAACAGGAAGACAACACATGATCTCACTTATATATGGAAACTAAAAAAGTCAAACTTATACAAGTTGAGAGTAGAATGGTGGTTACAAGAAGCTGGGGAGGTAGAGGTCTGGGGTGGAGGGAAGGGAGATGTTGATCAAGGGGTACAAAGTTCCAGTTAGATGGGAAGAATAAGTTTGCGATCTACTGCACAGCATGTAGTAAACATAGTTAATAAATATATATATTTCAAAATTGGTAAAAGTAGATTTTAAATATTCTCACTACAAAAAAATAAGCATTGAGGTGATGGATACATTAATTTGTTTGGTATAACCATTCCACAAAAATGTATACATACACAGGTATGTCAAAACATCACATTGTAGCCCATAAATATATACAATATTTATTTTTCAATTAAAATAAAGATCTAAATAAAAAATAAAGAGGCATGAAAACTGAAAAAGAAAAACTAATTGCTTATTTCTCTTTAATTTTTAATTGCACAAACTATGCAATAATACCGTTTGACAATTGCCCCCTAAAATTGCCAATAAGTCTGTCATATAATCTTACCTAAGCTTACATACATGTATATAATAATTTACTTTTTATGTGTTATTCATTATAAATATGTATATATACACTGTTCATTTTTTATATAGCATATATAAATGCTTGAATAGAAGCAGGTTAAAATGCTTTTATATCTTAATGAAAAAATATACTAATGTAGTAAGAGAGATGGGGATTGAACAGAACACCCACCAAACTTTCTTTCAAGAAGTATTTTGATAATCAATAACTTCCTATATAAAGTATATCTCTTTGATCTCTGTTTCTAATAAATGTTACTCATAGACAAGTTTAACAAAAAGCCTGGTACTGTTTTTCCAGTACCCAAAGAAAGGGAAATCTATAATGAGTTAGTCTCTGTCTGAACAATAACTGTGCTTCAGACAGATTTATTAGAAACTCCCCCAGATTAAATTTACATGTAATCTTGTTTGTTGATAGGTCATTTTTTGAAAGTAAAACGGAAAAAGTATCAGGCAGGATATACTGCAACAGTGTCAACTGACCCCTAAATTGTGACTCCTTACCAGAGGTTAAACCAGCCCAGATGACAAAACTTATTCTACTCATCAAAGCTTGCCAATTGTCAAGACATTAGAGAGTTAACATTAATAGCAGCTATGCCTTTGGTGTAGTCCATGATTTTGGAATAGTGTACAAATAATTAGGGTTTCTGATCTCAATAGGAATCCCAATTTCATTTTAAGTTTTCTAATGCTTCCTTAGGGGATGGCTATCATAAAGTCACACTAAAAGGGATAACATTAAGGCCAGAGGAAATATCCTAGCTAATCTTATGACATACAGTCCTGGCCCCCATGATATCCAAAAAGTCAAATCTTTGAAGACGTTTTAAAAGGTTATTTTGGAATGCCTACAACTGGCTCCAGAGTCTGAAGAAAAAAACATGATAATAAATTACAAAAAGAAAATATCTTTCAGGACACTTTCAGGACAGACACTTGGTGGCACCAGAGGACCTCAATGGAACTTTGTAAAAATTTTATAGGAAATTACCCATCAGAGCAAGGACAAATTGAACATTATACTCAATTAGCATTGGTGGTGAAATTTTACTAAAATTGCTGAGGATGTCTCTGGTATATAGCTGTCATCAGCACTGTCCTGGTAAAACTGTTATCCTTGTAAATCCAAGCCTTAGGGTGCCTATAAACACTTTCAAATGGATTTCCTAAAATTAACCCTAGAACGCGTTCTGAATATGTTCATCATTGCTTCCATCTTCTCAGGATGAACTAAAACTTCTTGCCAGAGAGCTACAATTCTGTGAGTAGAAAAAAAAATTACTTGATTTTGTGTTTACAACCTGAGGATCTCCAGGGACTGGGTTACTCATTTTACTGGGACTTCATTAGAGAACTTTGCAAAACCTTGTCATTTACTTAGAAATTCATTGCCCCCATCATCCTCAAACTTGAAGAAAAGTAGAGAGGACTAACGGCACACTGTATCTGACACACTTAAACTTCCATGACCAAGGTTACCTCTAACTCATAACATCATGAAGTCCATACTCCCCTACATTCACTGGCTTTTACCATATAAACTTGTTAAGAGTTTGCCCTATGAAGTTGGCTACTTCGCCCTTCATTTTGGACATTTCTTTACTTCAGAAAAATGTGGCAAAGTACTCCAAGGGACTAATGTAATATGTTTCAGAGTCTAATCACAAACAGATAAAAGTTGCTTTTCTTCTACATGACCAAAAGCTCAGAGGTAGTGTCTTCTGGAAATGACCTCAGAGAGGAAAAACAAACATCCTGAAACCATATTGGAAATAATCCTACCAAGAACTTTGACTGCTAGCCCAGTGGTTAAACCCCTGGGGAATAGATCCTTGAATTCATGTCTCCCAGATGAACAGACACTAGGTTTCACTAATACACAGAATGCCATTCCATCAAGAAATTTAAATCTAAGGAGTCTTGAGAAAGCTTCAGAAGCAGACATCTTCAGAAAGAAATAGCTACCATTCAAGAGGTATGGATCAAGACAGCCTCTACCCAAGACCTACGGAGTCTGTTTTTATATGGACCGTGAACCAAGAATGGTTTTTATATTTTTAATGGGTTAAAAAGAAAAATAAAAAAAGAATAACATTTCAAATCACCTGAATATTGTATAAAATATAAATTTTAGTGTCCATAACGTTTTATAGGAACATAGCCATGCTGATTCATGTAAATACTGTCCATGGCTGCTTTTACACTATAACAACAGATTTGAGTGGCTGTGACAGAGACCATACCGTCCACAAAGCCTGAAATATTTACTAGACGGCTATTTACATAAAAAGCTTGCTAACACCCTACCTAGATAATCAGAGCCAAAGATTGCAATGCTTTTATTTGCAGGCTTTTGTTCTTTATTTTCTGAGATACTTTCTTTCCCCTTTCTTAATCCAGCCCCTTAAGTGAGTAAAAACATATCATTTATTAACCATGATGGTTTCAAAGACCCTTATCCTTAATATTGCTCTCTATATTCTTGGCCACTCTATGGTGTGAGTACAATTACTAATGGAAATTTTTGATTTGGGGATGGCCTCTGTTCTCTTGATTTAATATAGGTATTCCTGGCTGCTGGCTTAAAAGTGATCTACAAGTTCTGATAATAAACTTTTCCCTTAGTGTTTTTCCATGTTGGTGTGTTCAGAAGTGTGACTTCTGGAGTCTTAAATACTGTTGGATAGCCACGGTCCTATAAAATGATCCAACAAATTATGATCCAACAAAAGGAAAAACTGATACACACACACACACACCCCCCACCAGAAACCACCTACATGTCATCATGACTCTTCATCAAGCAGCATAAATCTTGATTGATCACATCCTAAATAACAATGGTGTTTTTTTTTTTTTTTTCCAGCTCAGGTTGAAGAAGCAAAAGGGGACTGATAACTGAAACCACCTGCATCAATATAACAGCGCTATTTGGAGTAAGAACTGAGAATACCTGTGTCAACACAACTTAGTCTTTTGTTCCAGGAAATCTTTGCCCAGTAAATATAAGACTATAAAAACCAATAAATTATATCACTGTTTGTTTCAGGCAACTGCTGCAAAACAACTTATCTAAGACAACGGTTTATTTGGGTAAACATCTGGTTTATCAAACAACTATTCTCAAGAGTAGCTTCAAGAGCCTCAATGTTGCTACATTCACAATCCTAAACACTACGTTACAAAATTTGCCCAATTCCCATCAACATCCTGCCTTAAAAGAACTGCCTAAATCTACTTGCACCTAGACCCTATAACCCTCTACGTAGTCCAATACTGATTTGCACCTTTTGAAATACTAAGACTCTGTAGTGTTTTCACTTATTGCAATGAGTTTCAATAAACACACCTGCTTTATTAACAAGTTCTTTGGTGATATTTGAGGGAATGCAACGAGGCAGTTCTAATTTACACTCCTAACAACAAATGAAAGTTCTTGTTTTTCTAAAAGTTGGTAAAGGTAGGAATCTGGCTTTTTCTTCAGATGAAATCCAGCTCTAATACCATTTCTTGAATAATCTGTTCTTCCCCACTGATTTAAAAGCCACTGTTAACATTCACTAAATTGTCTTATGTATTTGGATCTATTTCTAGATTCTGTTGTGTTTTACTAACTAACTATGTACACTGCACCAAGCTATTTTAATTATGACAATTTATATTATGTTTAAGAATCAAGTATGACTATTTCATTCCCTTCTTTTTAAATAATTTCCCAGTCACTCTTATATGTTTATTTCCACATAAACCTTAGAATAAGCTTAAGTACCCTAAATATGTTCTTGACATTGTAAATTGGATTTATTTATTTATTTTTAGAGACAGCATCTCACTCTGCACTCAGGCTGGAGTGCAATGGCACAAACATAGCTCACTACAGTCTCAAACTCCTGGGCTCAAGTGATCCTCCCACCTCAGCCTCTCGAGGAGGTAGGACTACAGGCACATGCCACCATGTCCTGCTAATATATGTATTTTTAAATAGAGACAAGGTCTCACTATGTTGCCCAGGTCTTGAACTCCTGGCCTCAAGTAACCCTCCTGCCTTGGCCTACCAAAGTGCTGGGATTACAGGTGTGAGCTACTCACTGCAGTTGCTTGTTAAATTGGGTTCATTAAACTTACTGATTACCTTAGGGATTGTGATAACTTTATGCTGTTAGCTCTATGCAAAAACAAGATATAACTTTACATTTTAAAATCTGCTTGAAAATTAGTTGTACTTAGTATTTACCTATTCTTTCCCTCCATATTATTTCCCTCCACACATAGGTCTGTTTCATACTTGTCCTTCAAATAATTCAACCCTGATTTTACTCCCATAATCTGCACAACCTTTGGATCTGTCTAACCTCGAAATTCCAATTATTTCCAGTTTTGTCTATCCACTATCACCTGACTTCTGATTCTGATGTTACCCCCAATTCCTGTTTCAATATTACCAAACAATGAGAACAGAAATCAGCATAATTACACTTCCAGGTTTTAGTTGCTAAGATTACTCTGATGGAACAGCATGAGAAACACTATCATAAATGCTTCAATACAGATAAAGCTACGGAGAAAATAAGAGTTGACACTATTTTTTAATATTTGGTTACATTATGTAATAACACCCTGGGAAAATATGGTACTACTTATGAGGTTTCATTGCTTTCAAAATATTCTCACTCCCCTGTAACACACAATGTGTTTCTCAGATGTAAAATAGTTTTCAGAGTTATTCACAGTGCTGTATCAAAAAGCCTGAACAAAATTTTTATTCTCAGTTTTCTGGAAGCCTAAATGTTACCAACAGCTTTAGTTGGGATTTTCTTGAGATTTTATTTAAATAATCCACTAACCCCTGAATCTGTTAGAAAATTTAAAAATTAACTTGGCAATAAGGATTAGAATACATTTTAAAATAGATGCTCTAAATACTAATCTGAGAGAAAAAAAAATACTCACTGTATTAGTCAGCTTTCATACTGCTATAAAGAACTGCCCAAGACTGGGTACTTTATAAAGGAAAGAGGTTTAATTGACTCACAGTTCAGCATGGCTGTGGAGGCCTCAGGAAACTTACAATCATGATGGAAGGAGAAGGGGAAGCAAGGCACCTTCTTTACAAGGTGACAGAAAGGAGAAGTGCTGAGCGAAGAGAGAAGAACCCCTTATAAAACCATTAGATCTCATGAGAACTATCAGGAGAACAGCATGGGGAAACCACCCAAATGATTCAATTACCTCCACCTTGTCTCTCCCTTAACATGTGTGAGTTATATGGATTACAATTCAAGATGAGATTTGGCTGGGGACACAAAGCCTTAACCATATCACTTACCTTTTGCCATTTAAGTTCCTGTGTCTCCACAATAATTTTACCAATCTGCTCTTCATAATGAATTTCTGCTTCCTAAGTCAAAAAGAAAAAGAAAAGTGCTATAAAAATAAAGACTTTAAAACTTCCAGTTTCAGCTCTTTCTGGAGAGATATAGAAATAGCATACTCCCACCTTTACAACAAGAAAAAAATCTAGACAAACTGCAAATTAAATAGACAAGTCCATCATAGAACTGAGGTCCCAGATCAATCAAGTACCCAAAATCTGGATAGAGACACATGCCTAGAGAAACAGAATCCTGACATTTGCTTACCTGGGACATAAGCTACCGAGGACTGGTAAGAAGTTTCAATGAAAAGTCCTTAATAAATTGCTAAAGGTAGAATGTAGGCTACTGTAAAAATATGACTCTCCTGAAATAGAGAGATTTACACTTTCTAGCAGGCTTTTCTTCTAGGAAGCATACCAGGTGCTTACAGAAAAGATTGAGAAAAATCCTATAAAAACTTTCCCCTGCAGCACCGGCTATGCAGGGGAAGAGCACTCACAAGCCATCTTCCCTATTTCCTCTACAGATCAAAACCCTTAATCTACAGAGGGGAGGGCAACAGAAACTATAGCTAAAAGCACTAGTGGAAACCCTCTGCAGCTGGGCAAGGGGACCAAAAGTCATCACTAAAAATTCTACCTAGGCAGACCTATCTTCCTTATCTCCTTTAAGCAGCAGTTGGGAAGAGGAGGACTGGGAAAACAAGGCAACAACAGTTCTTTCATTGTGAGAGGGGCAGGGATACATGCTAGGCCCAGCATTACATACGAAGGAGGGACCAAACACTCATGAAGATCTCATCCTGAGACTCAGGTTCACCTAAGACTAAGGTTTAATGAGAATATCACAGAATGCCCTTCTTTCCCTATCTTCCACCACCACCATGCCAATAAGCATCAAGTAAAAAGAACAAGGAGATACAGCAAGGAGAGCTGCAAAGACAGAGTTTCTCTGGGAAGCAAGACAAAGAGAAGATTCAAAGTCAAGTGGGGAGGCCCAATGCCAAGCAGGAAGCAGTCATTTAGAAATATTCTCTGGTTTTGTTTAAAATAATGTAATACTCCTGAATTCGCCCACATCATAAACATAAGGTATCATTAGAGAAATCTGAAGCTTCTGCTGAAAACTTTAACAGGCAGAGTAGAAAACTACCTGGTTTAAGTATTGAAGGTGTGCCTCAACAAACACACACAGAGCCCTTCTGCAAAAACTAGGAGATTTTTTTTCCCCTTTGGTTCCTTTGGTATTATTTAAAGAAATCTCTGCAATCACTAGCTGACCACTAAAATAACAGCAAAGTCAGTAGCCACACACAACAAAGACAACAGACTACAAATTAGTTCAAATACACACTAAACAAAGACAAGAAGCAGGAACCCTAGAAAGTGAGAAGAGTCGATTTCCAGAGCTGCCATATATCCAAAATGTTTTCAACAAAAGTTACAAGGCATGCAAAGAAAAAGCAAAGAGTAGCCCATTATAAGGGAAAAACATTAATGGAAATTATACTTTAGGAAGCCCAGAATTGGACATAAAACTTTTTTTAAAATTATTTTATGTTCTAGGGTACATGTGCACAATGTGCAGGTTTGTTACATATGTATACATGTGCCATGTTGGTGTGCTGCACCCATTAACTCATCATTTACATTAGGTATATCTCCTAATGCTATCCCTCCCCCCTCCCCTCACCCCACAACAGGCCCCAGTGTGTGATGTTCCCCTTCCTGTGTCCAAGTGTTCTCATTGTTCAATTCCCACCTATGAGAGAGAACATGCGGTGTTTGGTTTTCTGTTCTTGAGATAGTCTGCTGAGAATGATGGTTTCCAACTGCATCCATGTCCCTACAAAGGACATGAACTCATCCTTTTTAATGGCTGCATAGTATTCCATGGTGTATATGTGCCACATTTTCTTAATCCAGTCTGTTGGTTCCAAGTCTTTGCTATTGTGAATAGTGCCGTAATAAACATACGTGTGCATGTGTCTTTATAGAAGCATGATTTATAATCTTTTGGGATGGCTAAGTCAAATGGTATTTCTAGTTCTAGATCCTTGAGGAATCACCACACTGTCTTCCACAATGGTTGAACTAGTTTACAGTCCCACCAACAGTGTAAAAGTGTTCCTATTTCTCCACATCCTCTCCAGCATCTGTTGCTTCCTGACTTTTTAATGATCGCCATTCTAACTGGTGTGAGATGGTATCTCATTGTGGTTTTGATTTGCATTTATCTGATGGCTAGTGATGATGAGCATTTTTTCATGTGTCTGTTAGCTGCATAAATTTCTTCTGAGAAGTGTCTGTTCATATCCTTTGCCCACTTTTTGATGGGGTTGGGCAAGGACTTCATGTCTAAAACACCAAAAGCAATGGCAACAAAAGCCAAAATTGACAAATGGGATCTAATTAAACTAAAGAGCTTCTGCATAGCAAAAGAAACTACCATCAGAGTGAACAGGCAACCTACAGAATGGGAGAAAACTTTTGCAATCTACTCATCTGACAAAGCTAATATCCAGAACCTACAAAGAACTCAAACAAATTTACAAGAAAAATACATAAAACTTTTAATCAAACTATTTTAAATACGGTCAAAGAGCTAAAAGAAACCATGTACAAAAATGTAACTATTAAAAAGATAATAAGCAAATGCTACAAAAAACTTCACAGTCATAAATTTGGCAACTTAGAGAAATTGCCAATGTCTCGAAAGCCACAAACTATCAAAACTCAACCAAGATAATACAGACAATCTAAACAGCCCTGTAACTATTAAAAGAGTTGAGTTTTTAATAAAAAAGTCTAAGAAATCTTCAAGCCAAGATGGTTTCACTGGAGAATACTACTAAATATTTAAAGAATTAGCACCACTTTTACACAGTCCCTTCCAGAAAAGTAGAAGAGGAGGAAACACATACTAACTGATTTTATCAGACCTATTTGCCATAATACCAATACCAAAGACAGCACAAAGGGATTACTCTGACCAATATTTCTCACAAATTTTGATGCAAAAATCCTTAATAACATATTAGCAAATAGAATCCAACAATGTAATTTAAAAATTATACACCATGACAAGTGGAATTCATTGCAGGTATGCAAAGCTGGTTCAACAGTTGAAAATCAATCAGTGTAATTTATTACATCAATATGCTAATCATATGATCGTATCAACTGACACAGACAAAGCACTTAACAAAATTCAACATCTATTCTTGATAAAAACTCTGAACGAGTTAGGAATAAAAGATATTATCCTTGCTTTTTGTAAAGAGCATTTACAAAAACCCTACATTTGGCATCATATTTAATGGTGAAAGATTGAATGCTTCCACTTTAAGATCAGAAATAATGCAGGGATGTCTATTCTCATCGTTCTTATTAAATATAATACTGAAAGTTTTAGCCACTGCTATAAGGCATAAACAAACAAATAAACTGATTGGAAAGGACAAAATAAAACTACCTCTATTTGCAGATGATATGATTGTATGCATAGAAAATACCAAGGAACCTACAAAAAAACTCCCAGAACTAGTAAGTGAATTTAACAAGGTCACAGGATACAAGATTAACACACAAAAAACAATGTCACATTTCTATATTTTAACAATGAATATGCAGAAACCAAAATTTAAAATGCAACTTATAATCACATCAGAGAAAATGAGTTATATAAGTATACACTTTGAAAAGCATTTATAGAATTTGTATGCTAATATATACAACATAAATTAATTAAAAACGTGCTGAGTGAAAGCACCCTTACCCAAAACAATACACAATGATGATTCCATTTAAATGAAATGGTGGAACAAATAAAACTAATTGAGTTTGGTAAAAAATCAAGAGAGTAATTATCCCTTGGGGTGAGCATTAAGGATAGCATTTGCCTGGGAAGAGGGATGAGGGAGCTTTCTGGGTTGATGAGAATATTTTACGTCTTCATAAGGTTTCAATTATACAAGTGTATTCATCTGTCAACACTCACTGAATGTACAGCTAAGATGTGTACATTTCATTGTATATAAGCTTTAGTGTAAGGAAAAATGCTGTAGAGAAATAGTAAACTCTTTGTAATGATATTTATTTTATTTTTTATTTTTTGAGACAGAGTCTCGCTCTGTCACCCAGACCCAGCCTGGAGTGCAGTGGTACGATCTCGGCTCACTGCAACCTCCGCATCCCAGGTTCAAGCAATTCTCCTGCCTCAGCCTTTCAGATAGCTGAGATTACAGGTGCATGACACCATGCCCAGCTAATTTTTATATTTTTAGTAGAAACGAGGTTTTACCATGTTGGCCAGGCTGGTCTGGAACTCCTGACCTCAGGTATCTGCCCACCTCAGCCTCCCAAAGTGATGCGATTACAGGAATGAGCCACTGCGCCCGGCCCATGATATTCATTTTAAATATCAGGAGGAAGTATACTGATGTCTGCAATTTACTTTGAAATCATCAGAATGAAGTCAAAAGAGGGATACACAGATATGTGATAAAGCAAAAATAGTAAAATGTTAATGTTGTATGAGTGTTCACTGTAAAAATTCTTTCAGTTTTGCTGTGTGTTTGACAACTTTCATAACAACATGTTGGAGAGAAACCAAAGAGTAGATATTAACAGATAACATATGTGCTTTTTAAATGAAATATTTTTCTATGACTCACTCTTTTATTTTATTTTTATTTTTATTTTATTTTATTTTATTTTTGTGAGACAGAGTCTCGCTCTGTTGCCCAGGCTGGAGTGCAGTGGCACAATCTCAGCTCACTGCAAGCTCTGCCTCCTGGGTTCACGCCATTCTCCTGCCTCGGCCTCCCGAGTAGCTGGGACTACAGGCACCCGCCACCACACCTGGCTAATTTTATGTATTTTTAGTAGAGACGGGGTTTCACTGTGTTAGCCAGGATGGTCTCGATCTCCTGACCTTGTGATCTGCTCGCCTGGGCCTCCCAAAGTGCTGGGATTACAAGCGTGAGCCACCACGCCCGGCCTATGACACACTTTTATGTCCT